GCGCACCTTTACAACACATACACAGTGCTAAATCAATAGTAAAAATAATTTATTTTGGGACAATGAAAAAATGAACTGGATTAAAAGGACGCACATAAACTGACCAACTACTAGAATAAATTTAGTAATGCAGCCCGTGAATATACATGCATGTCACACTATATAAACATAATAAGAATGATAAATATTGTGTAATTAAAATACGAAAAAACATATTTGAGATAATTGCTATTCTTACTTATGTTAATAACCTTATATAGAATTCAAATTTCTGGTACTGTTCACTGGACGTCAATTTGGCTTATTAATATTCTTGGAAATTAGAAACAATGTCAAAATGAATTATTCCTCTTGTATATTAATATATGATAGAACATGTTTAGTCAAATCACTTAACTTGATTTTAGGTTAGTATTAAAAAAACTACAATGTGTACAATTTTAAGTATTTAAGAAATCAGTACAGTTAAAAGGACCATTGGTAAACTTACCCAAACTAAGTAACAAATATTTTAAAACGCAAGTTTCATAAGTATGACTGTGAACTTGAAGAATGTTGCCGAATGATGCTGATATGGACATTTTTAGAGGAAAACCAGTCTGTGTATCGTAAGGCAGAACTATTTATAGGCACAGATGCATGCATGGATTAAGCAACTTAGACATGCTATTATATGAGAGAGAGGGGATCACTTTAATAATTCCATGTAAATTGGCTGATCTACAAGATATTAACTTTCTCTTTCACGTCACAAAAGGACATCTGTTTATTTGGCATTACGTTTACAAATATAGTGCTGTAAAGAAATCCTATGCATATTCGCGAGTTTTTCACGATTAAAATACTTGCTATACTGTATTATCGCTCCTTCCGTTGTCTTGCTGTAGAAATGTATTCCGAACATATAATTGATATTGTATAAATTGCACAAATGAATGACCATAAAATGACCATAACATTTAATTAAATCTATTAAGCCTCTGTCTTGAAACGCCGATATTCCAAAAACATTTAATGATATGCACTTTAACTCTTTTAAAGGTTTAATATATTGGACAATAAAACAGGTCATCAAGCAAATTTTCTATCATTTGTAATACAATGACTATCGATAATGTGTATATGTACGTTCTATATTGACCACACTTTGATAATAATAAACGAATTTATCTTAAACCATGGATACGCAGTGTAATGCATATTGAACAATCATAATAGACTGGGATCAGCGATTATACAAGTTTATACTGGATTGCATTTTCCTTCATCCCTGCCACCAGTGTCGTTATACATTCATAATACGATGCCATACAATAAAAACCTCATTAAATACAAAGTATTTTGAGTGGTGAGATAAAATGATTTTTTTTCTCTCATTGCTAACTGACATTTATAAAACTAATTGAATATTTTCAATAATTGAAGAACATTCAAAATGTTTAGTTTAAACGAGCAGTCAAATAACTATCAATACATGCTAAATTGATACACATAACAGAAGATGACTTTCATAAATGTTTGAAACGTTTGAAATATTATCTGTTACAAATACCCTGGGTACTACTTTCCCAGGATAATAGCACACTAGGGAGATTATATTTTACCTGGTGGGACGTTTTAATATGATTGATAATTAGCTATTTTGCATGAAGCGCACCAGTCGTGGTATTAATTGACATATACACCTGTACAGTTATCGCATAAAATATTTAGTTCTCTCTACAATATTGCAGGGTGAAATGGAAAGTTTTCTAAACTGAGAAACAACACCCGAATAGCATGCGGCATTAAACGTTTTCGACAATTTAGGATTCAAATTGTCATTCATTCAGTTTATTCAACATATTCGCATACCTAATGACACTTCAACACACCTAATTTACACAACTATGGTTGTATGAAGAAGTGGGATACAGATTTTCAACCTGAGAAAAGAAAGTTGTTTAATTTCTGCTGAAAGTTTTCGGGGACTAACCAATATAATATGGAGATAATTCTGGATTTGTACCTCATAAGAATGAAAACAAACCGAGTTAGCAGAGAACCATATTTATTGGCTCCATCTTGCAATTTCAATAATGTACATTACGTCTCTGATAACTTCTTGAAAATGAGATTAAAAGAAAAACATTTTCGGTCAAATTTTCGCAGATAAACATCTAATAACAGTCGTTTTGGGAGAAGAGAGAAAACTCTTGGAGACTTATTTGCCGAAATGTAACTAGATCTCTAACACAGAGTATACCATGCATATAAATCAAATATTTTGCTTTGATATACTGAAAGCATATTGGCATCGACTGATCTTGTGATACTATACGTAGGTTTTGTCATTAGAGTGGTAATAAGGCTAGAACTTCTGCTGGAACACGCTCTCTTGGTCCATCAATTTTGAATCTTCCCATCTTAAAAAGTTCATAATCGACTTAGTATAATGAGGTTTGATTTAGTCCACAATATCGAGTATAATCTTATTTATGTGAGACTTGGATTCAAATATAACAAAGCCATGTATTGAATTCGACTAATTTAATAATTTTAAATTTGTTTTCAGTGCCTATGACCTGGACCTTTAAACTTTTGACCTCACACCATTTATATATATATATATATATATATATATATATATATATATATATATATATATATATATATATATATATATATATATATATATATATATATATATATATATATATATATATATATATATATATATATATATATATATAAAACAATAAAAGATAACATTGCATTTTAAGTGTTGGATAGAGCAATTTCATATACCAATACGACTGGTATATCAAATTGTGATTCGCTCCAGGCGCAATAATGTGCATGCACTAACATCCTTGGAACTGTGTGGTCTTTTGTCTTTTCCTATAGAGCGATGATGAATGTTTACTCATTATTTAATAATGTCGTATGAAAATGCTTCTGATGTAAGTTTATATCAGTTATTTCTAACGGTCTGCACTAATGCGTTGTAGAATCGAATAATCGTTTGCAGAAATTAAAAATAAAACAAATCAGAAACAGCCAGTTCAAAGTTACTTGAAGTTATAATAGTTGTTGGAATGTGATCAATTCATGTTGGATATAGCATAAATTAATATCAAAAGGTGTGTGTATGTGTGTATTTGCGATATTGGAGATCATTTTCCTAACATTCCAACTTATTTAATCAATCATTACAATTATATCGGCATAGTGAAAAGCGGATGGTTATCGGGTTCTTGGATTAGGCTGGACGAAGCTGACAGGCATACAATGAGTTAATCTTCAGTATTTTTTACAATAGAGTTTCGTATCATTAGAAAATGCGATTCCCTTTAGAAGAATCAACATGGACTGTATGCCATCAGCAAAACCATATATGATTTTAATGAAAATAAACAGGATGTGACTTAGCACCATGAAGACTGTACTGTTATATTAAAGGAGGACAGAGAAATGAAGAATACTATACGGTTAAAATCGTTAATATATGTGTGGAGGTGGGGCTCTATGTACAACATTTGTAGTCTTATTGACAAATGGTGCAATATATATCCTGACGGAAACAATCCAAATGGCATTCACGTATTTTTTTTTTTACATTAAGAGCGTACACTAGATTACTATGTAGCCTAAGGGTGGTCAGGAGATAATATTCACAAGAGCAAAACTGCATGAAACTTTTGTTTTGATTACGTGCATTTATAACGATAACATAACAGTTACAAGCAGCAAGAAAAAAAATTGGACAGGAAAGGAAAAGAAGCTGGCACGAAAACTGGTAACACTGAATGGAGATTATGAAAGTAAGAAAATAAGTAATTTAGATATTTCGAGGACTGAATTAGAAAACATATATGACGAAATAAAATAAGTGCTGTTCTTAAGTTGAAAGCCATAGGATGGAAAAAAACCCAAAGAAATCAACAGTAAATACATAGCAAAATTAGGAAAAGAGTCTATGATAAATAACGATATCGGCTTTTGTTTCTTAAACGCTAAATATATTCTTAATCTTCAGTAATAATTTACCCATTGGTCATCAAAATACGGTTTGATGACACTCTCTCATCAATCCAACAAATGCCACACAAGATGTCAGTGGATTAAAAATAAACGTGTACATCGTATCTCAATGAATGTACCTAAAATATTTGAAGACATTTACATTAGGGCAGTAAAAATGTCAGTTAAAGACTTATCCAAGCAAGCATCATGGCAGAAAAAAGATCCGTACAAATTATTTATCTTAATGCATTAGAAAAGTTATTAGATAAAAACGTAATACAACACGGATTATATATGTGTGTGTTTGTGTGTGTGTGTGTGTGTGAGAGAGAGAGAGAGTGTGTGTGTGTGTGTGTGTGTGTGTGTGTGTGTGTGTGTGTGTGTGTGTGGTTATTGCCTTTCTGCCATAACGCAATCTTGCAGATAACGATACATGGCTATCAGTTTAACTGGTGGAGGAAGACCCCGGAAACCACCGACACATAAAAGATCACAATCGTTAATGAAGCACAATGAAAATTAAATAATTACTGCAGATTGCTGATAATTACATTTTATGAATGCTTGAAGGATAAAAAACAAAACAAAAACTAACATATGTTGTCAATCAAACGTTGCTTGTTCACGGCTCCTTGTCAGGTAAACAATACAAATATTGTTGAAATAAAACAAGTTTATCTTCTTCCGAGTGACGGATAATTAGATCTGATCTTACACGGTTTTGAGCACTGGTCCATTGTACATGATTTAGTTGGATTGAAGTTTTTGTAATGTCTAGCGCTTAATGTTGGCTCTTGCATGAGCCCGACTCAAACAAAGTAGTGATTTAGTTAATATACTTGTATTTTGATGAGTCTACTCATATCAAATGTAGCCACTGCCTGCTAACTACATTGAGGAAGAGTAAGATTGTTTGATATTCAGTCCAAACACTATTCTCTCAATGCTGAGAGCCAAGCGAGGAAGGTGTTAGTACCATTTTAATAGTCTTTGGTATGACTTGGCAGGGTTTCGAACCCACACCATCCCGCATCTGAGGCAGACGCTCTACCACTAGGCCACAGGAGTGGTCCGTTATATCGCAAAAACTACCACAGTTTGTAGCATACAATGACATGTTTTTTGTATCCTTCATTTGGAATGTTTGCATAAATCTTTTTCTTTGCCAAGTTGCGAATTTTGAGACCCACAAACGTAAATGATAACACAATATTATTACTGTTTGTTTGCGGGAGGATTCAGATGTGGTAGAAAAACACCAACAATGAATATTTTTTGTGAGAGGACAATAAGTTATTATTCGTGACAGCTGCTAATATTTAGTTAAGAGTTGATCTTGGCATACTCATTCGTCTATATTAATCTCACTCGCTGCTGTTATTTGGCGGCCCAGAACTTACGTCAAACGCTAATCCTACTCTAAATCGCATGCTTCAGTTTTGATGCTGATCAGGGCATTGCAAAACAATAACAAGAAAACATCGTTGCCTAAAACAATCACGCTCTCTTTGTTATCATTCTTAGACTGTCAAATGATGAGCTTGTACCTTTAAATCTTTTCACATCATGCAAAGAAGAACTTTCTCACAGTTCATTGAGGTGGGTATGTTAAAATGGTTTCTTAAAATTATCGCAGATAAATTCAAAATGATGAATACTTGTTTCGCGCTAATAATGAAAGTCTACATTCATTGATTTTCCTTATCTGAAAGTATGAGAGACAGACTATTTATCCCACAAAATTATACTCGATACTTGGTGAAATAGTCCGATAATGTAAAATTAAAGAAGCACAGTATAAAAAGTCAGTGCAACATTGTTCAAAATAGTTAAAGTGTAGAATAGAACAAATTGTTTAGCGTAAGTTTAATATTCATGTCCAGAATGAAACCTGTACACATTTGAACTAAATAGCATTTATGAGATTATAAATAATGCATACTTGTTATTCATGCTAGATCTTGAATATGATATGAATAGAGACTGCCAGCTTGTAAAAAAATGGATGAATTTTGCCCTAGACCAATAAGTATATTTAAATAAGAAACCGGGGATAGGTACAATATCCAGAAACAAGCTTAGCGCATACAAATTAGAAATTTAACGACAACAAAATGATAGTTGAGATATAGTCAGAACGATATATATGTTTAGCCCTTCAAAATTTATTATTTTGTATCAATGCTAGAATTTAAATTAGCATAAATAAAGCATTGATAAATATTAAATGTTAATATCGTGCTTTTCATTTAATTTAAAAAAAAATTCTATTATTTTCACCAAAGTAATGGTCCGATAAAACATTTGGGAATACAAAATGGCTTGCTACAATATTTAAAATATAATTTCATTGGAATTGCGTTAAATTAGGGAAAGTATGACTTCAGAAATAGATGGCTTTGTCGGGCTATCGCCTCAATTATTAAAAGTTTCAAACATTTACATGACCTTTCCCAAACGGTCACTCAGAGAATTTGTCCCGTTACGAATATGTAATTTAATTACTTATGCATTTTTTTTAAATTATTTTTATTATATTTTTATTTGATTTTTAGATACATTTAAAATGGTACGTTTTTTTACTACGCTGTTTGATGATTAGTTGGCAACATAACCCATCACTCGCGTCTGAAATGTCGTTTTAGTTGGGTTTAAATATATATTGTTTAGTAGATTTAGTATTTTGTGGATAATACTTTGAGGCTGAAACATTTCTTTTTGCTGCCATTTTCAATTGAGATGTTTTATTTAAAATAATTTTTTGATCTGCAAAATACAGTTCTTCATTACAATTCTTGGACAAAAGATATTTATTGAAAATTTGTTCTAGGTTTTTAAACAGGAAGATTAAAAATTGTTATTCAACGAGGAATTGCTGATTTTTCGTACAACTACTTCATCTGACGGTATCGTCCTCCATCTTGAAACTTTGTCTGGATTCGAACCTAGATTCAATCAGAACTATTTAGTGATAGGACTTATATTTTTCAATTCTAGGATTAACTTTTTGGATTATAATCACAATCTATAAGTCCTATTTTTAATTGTTTTCTAGGGAAATAATTTATTCTGTTTAAATATACAAAGCTCTTTGTCTTTAATTATTTTCTCTGTTACTCATTTTACGAGTCTTGACACATAACGAGCCAAATGGATTGAAATGTTTGTTTTTCTCAAGAGCTTTTCAGTTTAAACAAGCTATGCCCATCAGTCATGTTATATGATGCAAATCATTTAAACGATAAATATTTAAACGATTTTAACTAAACAAAGCATCGACAAAACGAAGAACACCTATCAACATAACTGAATTAAATTTGATGCAAAGCATCTTTACTTGAAATGCATTTACATAATCACCAAAGTAGGCAACCTAACATAACTTATATTACAAATAAGCAAATTTAATCGTTTTGTCATCCCATGAAAACATCATCATCACTTCTAAACATTTGAAAGGATGTACCTTAATTTGAGTACTCTGTTACAGTGATGTTGCAGATACATATATGGGCATTCCCTTCTAAATGCACTTTTATATTTGTCACCTCTTCAATTATCTTTTGCTATGTTATGATGTGTATCGAACCAGCAACGCTAGAAACAAGAGTCCGACGCTCTTCCAGCTGAGCTACTGTTAGTTTTTAGTATCTGATTTGCAAAAATAATAATAATAATAATAATAATAATAATAATAATAATAATAATAATAATAATAATAATAATAATAATAATAATAATAATAATAATAATGATAATGATAATAATAATAATAATAATAATAATAATAATAATAATAATGATAATAATAATAATTATACTACTACTACTACTACTACTACTACTAATACTACTACTACTACTAATAATAATAATAATAATAATAATAATAATAATAATAATAATAATAATAATAATAATAATAATAATAATAATAATAATAATAATAATAATAATAATAATAATAATAATAATAATAATAATAATAATAACAATAATAATAATAATAATGATAATAATAATAATAATAATAATGATATTAATAATAATAATAATAATAATAATAATAATAATAATAATAATAATAATAATAATAATAATAATAATAATAATAATAATAATAATAATAAATCGAAAACGTTTCTAAGTGATTGCCAATGCCATCTTGACTCATTTATCATTCGAGTCTAACAGCAAATGGCACAGACCCAGATGTGTCGTCGAATAATGCGTCGGAACATCTGGGTCAGTTCAGTTTGTTAGGAGCAATCAGTAGAAACATACCTTTATATGTACGCCTGTTATACCACGACAGGTCCGGGTATGTGTCACAGCTATTACTATTACAGTCAGTACGAATGAATAGGGGGCTCTCAGTGGTCTGGTGGTCTAAAGCGCTCTCCATTACAGATCACTGCCGTCTCAACTCTGCGTGGGTTCAAGTCTAATATTCGGCGAATGTAGATATGTGAGAAAGCTTGCCGGTAGCTTCTCGTGGGTCGGTGGATTTTTCCGCGGATTTCCCGGTTTCTTCCTGTACCAATAATACTGGCCGCCATGTATAGCCAGCAACAAACATGAATGAATAGACAATGAAGATGTTATCAAAAGTGAACGAAAATTGGAATATAATATTATAGATTAAAAGTAGCGCTGGATTGCTAGAGTGTCTGTTTTTATAGATAGTTGTTATAAAGGTATTATTAGCATTGAATGTTTAGAAAATACTTGCTGATGTAGGAATGTGTGTGTGTGTGTGTGTGTGTGTGTGTGTGTGTGTGTGTGCCTTTTAGTTATTTCATTATAGTTGGATACAACTGTAGGTAAATTTGATTTATTTTTCTCATTCCATGAAAAGCTTCTTTTTTAAAACGTATACTTTGTCACCGAGTCAGAGATTTTCTCCGATGTCTGATATTGTCTAACATTTCCTCAAAATTTTCATTGATAATCATAATGGATATGTTAACATATATATATATATATATATATATATATATATATATATATATATATATATATATATATATATATATATATATATATATATATATATATATATATATATATATATCAGTGACTTATCATCATTTATCTTTTAGAAAGGTTTATATCATCCAGCCTGTCTGTCTGTCTGTATATGCCCATTTAGTAATGTTGTGAATCTACTACGACAACACAAACACAGACTTGAATCTTTGGAATATGTTTGGGGTAGTCTTTAGATGTACACGGTACACGGTGATTATAAAATGGTGGTTACTATTTCAAAATGGTCTTAAACTTTGGAAGTATTTCAGTTAAAAATCTAATGGTAGCTTTGTGTCATCTTCAGTATCATTGGTATAGCATATGCATTGAATGTTTGGATTACACTCTCTAGTTTGGCTCAGTGATGATCACTGAGGGTATGATTCCAAAGGGTCACAGTCTAGAAATGCCAAAATCCCCAGTCAACAAACTTTCATGGATCAGAATGATATGAGAGAAAACTAGACTTCCACAATATGCTGTATGACCATTAGTTTATGAACTGGTCCCTGAATGATAGCCTAATAATCATATACTGGATGAAGGACATGATAATAAATCATACAAATTTCTAATGCTGACCCTGAGGAATGAGGAAGGAGATTTCTCTTAGGTCATCACCCAGAAGATATTATGATCAACAGCCTTTACCTATATATAAGTTTGAAGGGAAAGAGGAAACACAATTAGACATATATCTAACACAGACTCTTGGTTGAGCATATGGGAAATTGATCTTTTCCGGCATAAAATTATGAAGTGACAAAGTTTTACTTTCTATGACAATTGGATCATAAATATACATTGACATCTAAACAAATAACTGTAGTTAATTCAGCATTATAGTAGTATTATAGACAAGTTTTATTTTATTTTTGACAGCTTCCATAGCAACCTTTTAAACTCTAAGGCAACCATGTAGAAACTACATGTTTTCTCATTTCGCCCAAAATACACTGGTACCATTTATTTCAAAGTATTTGATGAAATATTTATTATGTCATAATATATAAAAATGTGTTTATCTTAGTCCCC